GCTGCACCTGCACTTGTCTCGGGCATTTCCCCGACCCACCGCTGCGTCGATTACTTCGGCTTCGTCTACAACAAACATAAACAGATCAGCACTGTATGAATTTGTATATCAATTAATTTATGTTTTATTTGCATCTGAATTTTTAATGTTTCGAAAATACAGATATTTGGATACATTTAAAAATGATTAAATGAAATTATGTTCACAAAAAATGTTATCAAATTAATTTCAAATTTAACTTCAAACTCAAATCCTTTACAGAGCTGCGTCTAGGATATCTCTCAGCGCGATTAAAAATTATTAATCAAATAAAATAATCGCAGCAAATGTTATTAAATTAATTTCAAGTGAAATTTCAAGCTCGAATTCTTTCGAAGAGAATTGCTACTAAATTCAGTTGATGAAAATTCCGTCAATAAAAAGACTTAATCTATTATTTCCGGGACATTTAAAACTAACTCTCTCGCATGATTCTCTTGATCGCTGCTGTAGACACTCTCGTTGTCGCTGCTATTCTCGTCGTACAGATAGTGCTCGCTGCCGCTGGTGCTACCGGTGCTACCGGACGGATGATGCGACGACGGCAGCTGCGACGGGATCACCGCCGGCAGCGTTGCCGTCGTTGGCACACCGCAGTGCGGTGGTAACGCCGGGATCGCCGGGTTCCCCAGGAAGCTGTGCGCCTCGTATATGTACTGTCGATTCATCATGTCCCGCTCGAGATTGTCCATCGAATACATAGCGCTGTTCGCCAATAATCACCGAGACTTTATATATCAGCTTATGTTAACAATCTTGGCTTCACACGGCTGCGTTGATTGCGATATGATCTTCCTTCGCGTTAATTCAGCATCGCTCGTCGACTCCAGATCGACCTTCAGTTGCTAATTAACGACGATATGACTAGACTGTTTGACTAGATGTAGAACGATGCGACTGCTTTAATTTACGCCATTTATTTCTCCGTATTATAACTTTGGATAATAATTATCAAACAATTGCGATAACTAAATTCTCAGCTGCAAAATTACACCGTCAGAATCTCAGATCGCACTTATGCGCACTCGATCACGTCTGGAGAATCGAGAGATACGATCGACACGTGCCAGCTAGACGCGTGCAGGATAATATTTCTAAACACCGACACGTGTCTTGGCGAACCTCCGGGCACGTGTCGAGATTTGCTGGGACAACTTGTTAAGTTATTCACGTTTCGGGATGCCTTGGCTCGTTTTCAGCGATGTCACTTGTGACGTCGAGACGAAGAGATCCAGTTGTCATTCCAATGCTTGCAAAACATCTTCGTGCGCTTCAATAAATATTTCTGCGAGAATAATATTTATTACATTTTTTATATTTATGTTTTTCCTTGCGTATCTGTAAGATTCTTCTGTACTTTACAGATCTTTATTTTTCCTTTTTGCAATTATATCGATTATATTGTTTTAGCAAGTGCGGGATTATTTGGCGTCCCTTTCTTACTTCTATAATTATTTATTTTATTATATTTATAGCAAACGTTGTTTTCTCCATTGTTTCGACACGTTTCTTGAAAATTATATCTTACTTTCACTTAATTTTTAATCGAAGACGCGGGTTTTAAATATGATAATTGCATTTTGTCATTTTTCTTATCGTGCAGGTATGCTCAATCTTCTATTTTCTTTAGTCATTCTTCAGTTTCCAAATTACAATCACGCTGGCACTTTAATTGTCTTTTTTGAAATTCTTTTATTACAGCGATTGCGTAAATTATCGTTTGCAACTATCCAAAAATTCGCTACGAAAATTTGCGCGATTCTTGAGTGCTCTTCTTGAAGATATTCTTCAGGATTTTCTTGATTGCTCACACTTACGCGGAGAACTTAAATAACAAATTTCTTAAATATCTTTTCGCAAACGTACAATCATTCAAAAATCATCTAAACCGTCACAACCGTCGCGATTCTCCCAGAAAATACCACCGCGCGAGTTTAAAAGCTTCTTCGATGTTCTTCAGAATGTTTCCGAGATTTACCGATTTCGCTATAACACAAGCCGAGACTTTTCGCAGCCTCCTGCCGACCGACCACCTACCGTGTTCCGATCGTTCAGGTGGTTTCTCACAGTACTAAAATCGAAAAGCGGCGAGCGGCAAGGCGGAAGCCATGCCGGGGTTGAAAGCCCAGCTACGACCCCATTCGTCGAGCGCTCGGCTGGCAGAGCCTGCCTACCCCTTGGTTGCTGGGGTAGCGGTGCCGCCTCTTCATCGATCTGATAAGGAACCGTCGTCGTTCTCGTTCCTAGATACCGGTCTGGAACACTGCCGGGAGAATTGCGACCAGTGACCAATCGGAGGGTACGTTTTCTCGAAAATGACTTCTTCTATGAGAGGAACTATACAACGTAAACAGTGCGTTAAATGTAGACAGTGAAACGTTCAGCATCGCCGTTCAATTCGAAGCGGTAAAATTGTTCTTTTTTGTGTAAATGTTCAGAAAGCTAAAATTGTGCGAAATTGAATAAAGAGTTACTGAATTAATTAGCCAATAAAATTATGTCATTTGTACTTAAATCATTTATTCAGATATACATATCTTATGTATGTATATAAGAAATGCTGAATTTAGAAATTTAATTAGCAATTTAATTTTTTATCACAAAAGGAATTTTTTAGCACATGTAACGCCTTCAGGCTATACATTATGATTATTCTATCCGTATATTTCCATTACATTATTTTAAAGCCATCAATTGTTTCTACTAAAACTATTAGAAAGCCGTTGGACTTTATGTTGCTTCGCATTTTCGCGTAAAGTTTTCACCAGCGTTAAGTGTAGTTCGTTGTTTCAGAACTTGGCTAATCATAGGTTTCGCACGCCTACACCGAAACTACAGAATTTTCAAGTGCACAGTCTATAGCAACTTCATGAATTCGTAATCGTCCGACGGACGCGAACAAAAGTCCATTGCAGCGAGGAAAACCGGTTACAAACTGGTGAGCGAGAGAACTCATGCAAAGCAACAAAGTAAAATTTAATGCTGCTTTTATTTCTGCATCTGACTTTTAATTATCTTTAATATATAAATTTTAATGCGTAAATAGAATACGATATATAAAAATGCAAATATAGATATAATATGTTAAAAAGTGTGATAAGATAATATAAAATAGTTCTTTAATTCTACATGTAATTTTCCGCACTTACCTGCTACTTCACCTTTACTTCAATCCTTGTGTTTTACGAGCCGTTACAAACTGCGAAGAGCGCATCGACAGGAATCACAGATAATCCGTCGTAATAGAAAAGAAATTGGTCGCACGTGCGGGTCACGTGCGGCCGCAACATTGCGCAAAGGGTTGCGTCCCGGGTTAACCGCTTCGGCGACATTTGGCTCCGTGAAGCAAACCTGTAATTATACGAGCCGTAACAGGTACAATCAGATTTTCCTGCTGCATTATTAAGCGCAAGATAATAATATTTAATAGCGCGCTGCGGTTACGCTCGCAATATGTTTGCCGGATGTACGTGTCACATTCTAGCCAGGCGATATTCTCTTCAATTTTATATAAAAGAAAACACGTGTCTCAATCGCCGCATCTGAATTTTAAGCTGAAACCTTTTTCGTGTTGATACAATAATTGTCCTGAAGATTAGGCAAAATTGGCAATTATTGCAGAATTCAAATTGTTAACATTTAAAAGATGCTGAGATAAATTTATAAGGGATGCTCTCTTTGAGAATACCGACAAGCTAATAAACTAAGTCCTGTTACAAACATCCGTACGTCTTCCGGGTGATTTCGGGCCTCATCCATTACGTTTCGATAATTAGCAGCCCAGAAATTATAAGGTGAGGGTGCGTCGAACCCGGATGAGTTATAGTTCCATCTGTGATGCTCCTGCGGAAAGAATCGGGAAAACGGCGTTTCCAGTTCCCACGCCTTGTAATTAAAACCCTCTTTTTGCAGTAATTGCATCTTACATATTGATGCTCTTTTGTGCACTACGCATCAGTATTAAAATATTTATAAGATATTTTATAACAACTAAATAATTTTTTCAATGAAAAAATTAATCTAAGTTTTTTTTACAGATTTAATTATAAAAAATTATTAGTTGAATGCATAAAATGTGAATATAAAAATGCTGGTGAACGTATAATAACGTACTATTATTAAATCGCGTGCATTTGTTATCTTGAAATAAATAAAACAAAAAAATAGATCCACTTTTTGTTAACCGTACACTTCAATCGAATTTGCCGGCCGCAGCATGTTTCGGTATAATCCGAAATGAAAATACTGCATCGGGACAGGTCTATTGTGCTGCAGAATTTTTGATCCCTGAGATCGAGAGATAACTGAAGGGGATCGGATTTAAATGGCAAAGCCCGCGGCCACGTGTATGCGCTTAAATGCGATTCTACCGATGACGAGACGATTCGGACGATCTCGTTCTGTGCATCGGCCGTCGAATAAATATTATCTCTACGACGCTTCAGAAAAATTTGCAATTTAAAAACGTATGATAAAGCGCGCTGAGCTTAGAGCCTTATCAGCGACTATTTTAAACTCTATAGATAAGAATTGAGGTGAAATTGACAATTCACTTCTTCTCTACACATTTTCTTTTCAATTGCGTAAATTTTGCAGCGACAAAAGAGAAATTAAGAAAAAATAAAATTTACTTTCAAGATATGTGAGTGGTGTAACTTACGTGCGTTTTCCTAAAGATGTCAATTCACTGCTGAAGTACATTCGTGATAGAAAAAAAGAGATTTTGGAGCCATCGCATAAAGCTCGGGATTACCCACTCCATGAATAAAGCGATTTTTCACGGTGCATCCCGGCAGGAGAAGGTCGTAGCTAACACCTGGTAGGCGGTATGGACACGCCGGAACATCCTGGTACCTATCAAAACGTACCCCTAAGTGTCTATTAATTTATACTCAGCGGGAGTGTGAAATCGATTTATGTCCATGAATGTGCTCGAAACTGCGACGGACCATCCATTTGGATTCTGGATGGTAATTTTCCGCCCACAATCGTTAGCCGGCCCAAAATTAAATTATACTCTCTTTTTACACACATTGCAATATCATAAATACCCATAATGTTATTATATTATAAATTTATTTGAAAAGGAAAGATCAATCTCTCAGTGTCATCTTGGCAATGATCTAGAAAGATATAATATTAGAAATGGAATTTCTTATCATTTTAAATTATGTACAAATACAGTAGTGCAGATAGCAAAATTACATCTCTAAATAATTACACAAATAAATATTTCTCTTTATATTGCAAGTAGCTTTGTATCCTGGAATGCAAGTTAAGATATGTAATTTTTAAAATGAGTGAGCGTGGCTCGTGAAAAATAGTGACAATTAAAACTATCAGAATATCAGAACTATCAGATAGTTTTAATCGTCACTATTTTTCATCAGAACAACTCTCACTGTTCCCTCACTGGCACAATGACGAGCCGTAATAACAAATCGATTGTGCGAATGCCGAAGACATACACACTAGGGAGGTTGTACCCCAGGAAAACCGGGGAAGAGACGGTGCATTGGAGCGTGGAGTGTTTTGGGGTCTCGTGCCCCTTCTGCGCGGGGGTCGCGTGTGAGGACACCGCAGGGGGTAACATCCAGCCCCGGATACCGGAAACGGTTAGGCGGTACCGGATACGCGGAAGGCGCATTATTAGACAGGTGGCTGTACTCTGTGCGGGACACGAGAACTTGATGACTAGGACAAGTTCGGCCTTGTCAATAAAGTATAAAAATAGAACGTACAAAATAAAGAGTGATGTGTAATTGATTGTTATCTCATTTCCGTTTATCTATATAAAGATAAAACTTTTATGAATCCTACATGAATATAAAAACGGCTCTAAATTTTAAGCTATATATATATATTTAGCACAAATCTAAAAATAAAATTTATTTATATTATGACGCCACGTGTAGATACGCATATGGCCAATCAAATGTTCTATTCATAATCCCTATTGAGATCATTGCCAAGATATCTTAATCAATAAATAACTTCTTGTCGATAATGCTCGTTAAGTGCTATTCAATCGCAAAATGCAATATACAATCATCAACTATTGCCTTTTGCTTTCTCAATAGTGTATCTAGCTATCAATAATTTTCTATCTATTTTCGCAGGAAGTTACAATATCATATTGTGATACCTTGTATCGACAGATGCTGCATATACATGTATGACATGATAATTGTCGTTCCATGTCATGTTTGTAGTGACAAATCATATTTGACCCTTGTTTAGACTTATGTTGAGAGATATAAGTGATGCAACATAAAAATATACTGAGACGTCATGAAATTGTACTGAAACATAAAATTTAATTAGTGGAATCTTATTTAAAATTATTTCGATAATGAGAAAGTTAATAATTTCTTAACTTTGAAAGTAATAAATATAATAATATAACATTAATCCTTGTTTGGTCAAGCTACTTGATATTCAAAAAAACTGTGTCTATTGTAGATATTTTTGACAGTAGTAGTTATAATGGTTTGATAGTAAAAAATGTAGAGAAAAAGTTTAAAAATACATTATTTAAGCAATCGATTTAAACAATAAAATACAAATTAATGTGTTCAATAAATATTGAATGTCTCAATAAAGGTTAAGTTAGTTGAAATGTACAAATTTTTATTAAATATCTATATATATATCATATGCTATACCTCAGTGTTAAAGTAAACTTAAAAAAGATGTAAAATAATCATTTTCATAAATACTTACAGTTTCTAAATGCTGAATTCCAATATCTGCTCCCAATCATCTCGACATTCAAAATTCTTCTAATCCACCGCCGCTCACACTGTGTCACGATCGATATCTCGCATTTGACTCTCGCACGAGTATCGACTACATTGCGACGCGTCACCATCCGCCTCGCGGCGACTTGTGTCACGCCGCCGTCTGGGGTGGGGGGGGTATTTTTGCTGAGCTGGGCCCTTGTTTACATCCGGAGAATTCACGAATCCCGCGAACCCCTCCGCCACATCCTTGTCTGCCTCCCCGTCTCTGATCGTAGTGATTCGTTCGAAGAGTTTCGGTCAAGAGCAGTATCTCTGATTTTTCGGTGCACTCCTGTTGATAAGGGAACGAAGCAGTTGTGCATTTATTCAAAATTATTGTGGGTCAGAATCCAAAGCAAGAATGAAGGTTACGGTGACGACGCTCAGCGACGACAGCGTGTTCGTCCTGGACGTAAGCGAAGAGTTGGAGCTGGAGAACTTCAAGGCGTTTTGCGAGATCGAGAGCGGTGTGCCGGCTCATGAAATCGTTATCGCATTCAATGGTCTGCCGCTCATGGATGATAAAAAATCGTTGCGCGATCATGGAATCCGTGACGGCGATGCTGTTATCCTGCAGCACATGCATCAAAGCGGCAGCGATCTGAACCTGCAAACCTTTAACAGAGGTAAACACTTTCTAAGTAATCACAGTCTACGTGTAAATTATCTTGATTATCATTTCGTGTATAATCTAATCGAATGCACAATAAAGAACATTTGCATCATTTATTTTTATACATTACATTGCATTTCGACAGAATAATTACAGCATAATTTACAGCTACCATTTATCTTGTTTTTGTCAATAGAGATTCGATAGAGTGATATCAATGGGCATTGATGTTGAAGCCTTGATCTTTGGTCCCTGATTAATTATGCATGCTTTTGTCAATCTTCATACTCTTCGAATACTTTGAAATCTTTTTTATATCTTCCCTATTTTGACCTTACATTCTTCTATCAAATTCTTTATACGCTATTCTGCATGATACTACTTCGCAGCATGTAGTATCTTGCAAAAATGAACGTACTAAATTCGAAGAAACATCACTCTAGCCATTCCATTACTGGACTTCAGTTCCATCATAGTTCCTGGAGTCAGTAATAATCAACGTCAGCCATCAATCTCTAACAACAGAGTACAAAATCCTCGTAGTGAAGATGATCCAGCAATGATAAGGAACATGTTCCAAGCTAATCCGGACCAGCTGGCTTTGCTCAAGCAAAATAACCCTAGATTAGCCGACGCTTTACTATCAGGAAGCCTTGGTAAGCGGCAATTCTAAGTACAGTAAAAGTAATTAATAATTGTGTTTTGTATTTCTGGTCTAAGTGTTCATGTATTATAGATAGATTTTCGACTGTACTCAGAGAGCAGATAGCCGCTCGAGAAGAACGGCAAGCACAACGGCTAAGAATGATGAATGCCGATCCGTTTGATACCGAAGCACAGCGCTTGATCGCTGAGGAAATTAGGCAGAAAAATATCGAGGCAAATATGGAAGCCGCGATGGAATACAATCCGGAGACTTTTGGCACGGTTGTTATGTTGTATATCAACTGTAAAGTCAACGGATTCCCGGTTAAAGCATTTATTGATTCAGGTAAATTATCGGCCGTCTTTAAATTGCTTATAGTAGCGAGTAAGCGTCGATTCCAGTCGCGATTTCTTCGCGCATTGAAAACATATGAAACATCATCGATATCGTTAAATCGTACTAGAGATTATTTTTAAACATCTTTGTTCTCACCCACTGCATCGGGGCCGAACAGGTATCTATTTTTAAATCCACGCATCATGGAAAATCATTCTGCATGGCATGCAGAAAAACAGTTTAATTTTAGAACGCATGACCTCTGTCCGTGAAAACAGCAAAAGAAAAAAAGATTCTGCACTCAAATATATCTGGATATTTCAATCGTTTTCTAAAAATGTTTTACATCACGAAAACGTGGAGACGAAAAAGAATTTCGCGAGATCGAGACGCTACACACTATAATATCGAAAGCGTTGTTTTTGTAATACAAGGTGCACAAACCACAATTATGTCCGCTGCCTGTGCTGAGAGATGTCACATTATGCGGCTGGTCGACACAAGGTGGGCCGGAGTCGCGAAAGGCGTTGGAGTGCAGCGTATAATCGGTCGTATTCACATGGTGCAAATACAGATCGGCAATGATCATCTGACAACGTCGTTCAGCGTCCTCGAGGAACAACCTATGGACATGTTGTTGGGCTTGGATATGCTTAAGAGACATCAGTGTTGCATAGACTTGAAGAAGAACGTTCTGAAGATTGGAACTACAGGCACTGAGACTTCATTTCTGGCAGAAGGTCTGTTTCTTCCTCTACTTAACAAAATTTATTATTGATATTAATATCAAAATGGAATTAAGAAATAATAGTGACGCCTGTTACGTTGTTAGGTGACTTACCAGAGTGCGCTAGATTAAGCGGTAATAATGATGATACTTTGGACGATAGAGACCTTCAGCGAGCTCTTGAAGACAGTTCGAGAGATGCTAAGAAGCAGAGACAGCAGCACGGTAAGTGTATGTAACAGTCCAGGCTATCCTTTCTGTTTTTGCTCTTTTTCCTGCACACACCTGAAAAAATACACAAGATTAGTAATATCCATACTTCCCACTTTTTCTTATGTCCACCTTTTCGTATGCCTGGTCTGTTTTTAGTATATTTTTGCCATTTAGTTTTTTCATACATTTTTATCATTCAATTTTTACTTTTGACTGCAATTTCAGTCATGAAAATGTATATAATGGTTTAAAATATATATAAAATTGTGTTTATAATATCTTTTTTAAACACAAATTTTGCTTGTGCTAAGTGTGAACATTTTCATGGGATTTTTTCAGACGGGCAGAGTAGCAGCAATCAAAGCTCGTCCAATAGAGCCGCCGCTTTAGAGACAACAGTTTATCCGCACGATCCGTTTACGGAAGCCACGGTTAAGGAATTAGAGGCTCTGGGTTTTACCAGAGCGCAAGTCATCGCGGAGCTACGTAGATTCAACGGCGACAAAACGCAAGCTACTGCAGCATTATTCGCGAAATCACTGAAATTTTGAACATTAGAAACTGTCGTACGACTTGAGTATGCAAATCGCGTCAGCGAGAAGAGATAGGCATAGCGAAATTGTGAATATTTAACACGCAATAAAGATGGAGGGGACCCACAATCTTCAAAGCAATTTGTAAGTATTGTTTAGCATCATCGTCAAGTTAGCTATCTCTGATATAGTTCTCAGCCGAGTGTCACTGAGAACTTTTATAGCTTGATTACGGGTTAAGGAATATTGCTGATAACGTGCGTATTGGGTTTAATCTTGTGAACGTAAATTGAACTCGTACTGGATGACTCAAAGTTCCAAAAGTTACAATATTATAATATTATAATAATATAATAATATAATATTATCTTGTTCTTTTATATTATATAAAAAATTATATATATATGTATAATATATGTGTGTGTGTATATATATATATATATATATATATATATATACACTATACATGTATAATATAAGAGAATAAGAAGTTTTATTCGAATGTACAACTTTGCACATTTTCTGTTATGCGTACGTGCAACGCCTAAGTGAATTGCATTACTTCCAATATATTAGTATACTAAGTACACATGTGGACTAAAATAACAATTTTATAAAAGAAATACCAAGTCGTTTATGACCTGATATTTAATATAATTATTTACAATTGCATAGATACACAATTATACATTGAATATCAAGATTCAAATCCGGTATTAAGATCTTATGAAAGGAAATTTTTGTGCGTAACAGCTGCTGAATGAACATAATGAATGATAAGATTTTTCTACGCGTTGCGAAAGATGTATTTTTCGCAGTACTCTTTGTAATATTCCGTTTAAATGGTGAATATGGACAAATGTATATACGTAGCATTAAAATAGATTCTAAATAAATTGAGCACGAAATGGAATAGATAGAATCTTTGCGCAAGAATACTTTATGGTTTGATAATATTCCAAAGACTTGAACTTATAACTTGGATTCAGCTCAAACTCAGTTCCTCATTGTTTATCGAAGAACTTTGTATATAAAATGATGCCGACAAATGAAGATTTTCCATTTTTTACGGGACATTTGTTACGATAGAAGTTGACGTGCGAATGACTTTTGCTCAGACGTAAGTCGATGGGATAATATCGATTTTGTACTGCTATCTTTCCTTTGACAAGAACATCTTGTCGAAATCTATGTCATCTACGTATTGTAATTTCTTTCTTTATGATTTATAAAAATACGTGACGAATTATATGGCTTGATTTATTTATTCACTATCGGCTAAGCATTCTATATTAGTGTATATGCACCATCAAATCACGGTAATATTATACGAGGTAATATATTTTGCAAGATGAAGAAAAAACTTTTTTTCTTTTCTATCCTGATAAAACTAAAGGGAGAATTTACTATCAAATACGATAATTTAGCAACAAAATTCTTTTCAAATAAACTTTCATCCAATATTTGTCGCATCTTCAATCTTTGCACATCTTTCAAATACACATATTTAAGTTTCTATTAAAAAATGACTCCACACATTGAGTATATAACATTGCTAGAAGTCTTGCTGTTTTCTCATTGATGCTGCTGCAGCAATTTATTTCCTGCTAAATTTAAACAATATATGTAACAATATTTATTATAAAGCTGGAACATCATCTCGGCACCTTTCTCACTGCACAACATTTTATTTGATGTAGAAAATGATGCTACATAGATTTACATAAATATTCATTGAAGAAGTCCCGCTGTCCTCTCATTGATTATCGGGCAACTCGTTTTTGTCCCATTTGAGATGCACGACTTTTCCCGTGCGAACAGACTCCTCACAGGCTGTAGCAATCTTGCTCACCGCCAGGATCTCTTTTGACTTGACCGACGACTCGGCTTTACCAAGAACTATATCAACGAAGTGATCGAATTCCCTTCGGTAGCCGTTCAAGAAACGGCTAGCGAACGAGTACCAGATCGGAGCGGTGACCTTTCCCTGCACGTCGTGGTGCCGATGAACAGAATGTATCGGCTGTTCGTTGTCGGCCCGCAACATACCCTTCGGACCGAACGCTTCAAGTCGCTGATCGTACCCGTAATTGCTATTGCGCGACAGATCGATCATGCCGAGAGTTCCTGACGGAAAGTGCATGGTTACTGCGACCGTGTCGAAGTCGTCAATCGCCTTGATTTCCGGGACGTTCGCGTCAGCCAGGACCGCAACCTGTATAATCATTTTTTTGTCATTTTATCACGAATGATGTTAATCGTGAAACTGAGACGATAACGTCTATCTTACAAGCGTAACTTTTCCTTAGTCTTATATTTTTACATATCGGTGGCACGGTTGTGTGAACAGCAACTCGATAAATTTAATCCTTTGAGATAATTAAATAAATTAAGAAAATTATATATATATATATATATTTAATAAATTGAGAAAACAGTGAAAGCAAAACACACGTACAAATTCAAAATACATTTTTCGCAAAATGTCAAACTATGTAAATACACATATGAGAGAACTGTACCTTGTCTGGGTAATCTCCGATCACCCAAGTGACCATGTCGATGTCGTGGACTAGACAATCGTGGAAGATGCCGCCGGACGCGGCCAAATATTCTATAGTTGGCAGAGGGGAATCGCGAGCGACTGTCTTGATCATATGAACGTGTCCGATCTCACCTTTGCGAACTCGATCCCGCACGCTCGAGTAAGCTGGATCGAATCGCCGATTGAACGCGCAAAACAGCGGCTTGCCCACTTTCTTGGCTATCTCGTAGCACTTGGCGGTGTCCGTACTATTTTCCGCTATAGGCTTCTCGCAGAAGACCGCTTTCTTCGCCTCCAAAGCCTTGATGACGATATTCTCGTGGGTGTAAGTCGGCGACGCCACGATGACTGCGTCGACGCTAGACAAATCATAGAAAACAAAAATTACATGTATTTTTCACATAAATATAAATAAATCGATATTGCAAGTTTATTATATCTGCCTACTTCTTTTTGCATTTAATTTTTTAAACAGATGAATAGATATATTTTGGTTATTGTGACTTTTGCAAATAGCACTTTCTTATTGAATGTAGATACTTACTTGGGATCTTTGAATACTTTGTCAGACTGCTTGCTATTCAGGAAAGTAACGTTGTCCAGATGCCAGTATTTTTTTATTTTTGGCCAATTGCTTTCGATATCGTCCACGATGTATAATAGCTCGACACGCGCATTGGAAACAGCAGACATTAAATGTATTGTTCCGGCACGACCCACACCGAACAGGGCTAGCTTGACTATCGGTTCATCTTGGGACTCAGTTTTCAGTGAAAGAGCCTCTACGTATCTGCAAAAATGCTTGTATTAGTAAAAGTGCTCGAAGTAGAAGAACAATTTTAGAATTTAAAGATCTATCTTGAGTATTTCCGCTATTGAAAACTGAAAGTTAGAAGTCACATGAATTGTGATTACATGTATAATAAAAAGTGACATGTTAATGTAAGATACAACATTATATCATCTCTTTATACATTGAGCTGATTACTCACTTTTTATAGAGATAATCTTCCTCAGGTAGTAAAGGTTTCGGCTTAACATACGGGGATGCATCCTTGAATTTCGCCGTTGCCATTGCTGCCGCGAATTTAAATACACCGTCAGGCAATCACTCTCAAAATCCCTCGCAATTGAGAGACTGGTTTGGCCAATGCCTCGTTAGTAGCTTCTTATATACGAAGAGATGAATCAAAGAAGGGAGGGAGTCGATTAATGTAACGCATATTATTTGAAAATCTAATACTGTTGTTTATGTCGATAAAGAGAAGATGGCTTTTCCACTCTCGTAAAACATAATATCACAGCTGGTGGTGCCACAATTACATAATAACAAAGATTAAAGAACGTTTTGCTGAGTCACGAATTATTTTTAACCGATAAAGATACTAGATTTTGAATTCTTTTGTCATTTTTGCTAATAAATATCTTTGACGTGTAAATTTGAATAATCTCATCAATGAATGTAAAAAGACAAATTTGACTAAATTTTCTTACGGCAGGAATTATTGAATAATTAACTATGCAATCTTTGTGATTACTCGAAACCTCGCCGATTATGTTTCTAAATGTACATACTATAAACGATTTATTCAACTTTGCTTTAATATTTAATAAAATAATCGAAGTTAATGAAATAATTGATCAATTCCTATTCCGTATTTCTATTTATATAAATTTTTTAACTGCAATAAAATATTCTTCATAAAATAAATTCAAATTTCGTAAGGCGTAATTTACAGGATTGTTTTTCACTAATGACTGCCGCTTGTTAAAAAATTTAAATGTTAAACATTTTGTAGTAACATTGTTGTTAATAAAGTTAGAATATTTTAACTTAACTTGCGTGCTAACCAAGTTACAAAGAAAGCTAGCTTTATTAACATTTTAAAATATTTGATTTTTTAAAATTAGTATTCTACAATGCTAGAAGAAATCCATGTGTAAACTAACGTTCGTAAATGAAATTTCCAGACAGTTCTATTCGTTCATTAAGTTCATTCACGAAAGATGAAGAGTGAGCTTGTTATACAAAGAAGACCTTAAATTATCTCGAGCATAATTGTCTAGTTCGACTGTATCGTGACTCGAGTATATCGCTGGCTCGCACTTGACTTGTTTGTAAAATATTATTATGATATTATGCGATGTTAATTCGTTTGCGTTTTTGCAAAATCATAGCGCGATACTGTTGGAGTTGTTATATTTTTATCATACTGTAAGCCATAATGCGTTACCGAATGCAGAAGGTTGCACCGTTGCAATTTTTCTAATAATCAATTCGCGTGTCTTATAGTAAACTAAGAAACCTTATTATATATAAAAGTACAACCCAAAATAAACTAAAAGGTTATATACTTATTGGAATGCATATTGCATAAACGCTTGACGTAAATTTCCATGTGTGATCGCTATATCATCGTAAGGCCGAGGGGCTATCAGTAAAATATCATACTGCTTATATCTTTGAAATGAAAATATACCTCAAAAAAAAAAGTCGTTCGTGTATGCGCATATTCATGCATCGCAAACAAATTAAGCGCGTCGCGTTACGAAATGAGAAATCCGATAGAACGGATTATATAATTTATTCAAACAACGAACAGTGTAACAAACAACAGCAACAATATCTAGAACACATTGTGCAGTCTCACCGGAATCGTTCGCTGGTAAGATTTAGAAAGGTGATATCCGGACTGTTTTTATCCTGAAATCAATTAGAAAATATGTTTTTACCTGACGGCAAGAATTCAGCGAATGTAACAGATTAAATATTTCGCACAAATTTCAGAAACTTTCTGAAATTTGTGTGGACACCACTGATTATGCCAGCGGTAAACTCACGAATTTTACTAGTGGACAAGTTAAGAATAGCGATTATCAGCCGTGAAAGTTTTAACTGTTTTCAACAAAGGAAAAGGCAATGTATACTTGAGTTCTTTATTTGCTAGCACACACTGGTGTCTCACAATTCGTCATTTGCCTTACGATACGCTTCCTCCGGCACGAAAACAACTTCGTCTCCGTAGCTTTCCACGTATGCTGATCTTTTCCTTCTGTCCCTTCCCGGATCGGCGTCAACAAGAGCTATACTCGACCGGATGGATCTGGAAATAGTATTATTATTATGCAAAATACTTCGTAAAATTTTGTATTTTAGGAATATTTTTCGATAGAATTTAAATTACTTTTTATTTGAATCATTAACTTTAATATTTTAATAAATAGTAATTTAATAAATATTAAAAAGGTTTTTAAAAAAATAAACTTCAAAAATATATAAGGCAAACTTTTAATTAATTTCAAATGTTATTTAATTTATTACATTAAAATTTAGTCAACGAGATATTTAATGTTGAAAATGTAAAGTTTAAAAAAAATGAATCCAATATGTCAAAAATATTCGCGTTTTTACGTTTGATATATTTTTTAAAAATATTCTACGTAATTACAACAAAAAATTATCGTATACAAAAACTCATGCGTTATAAAAAATATTTTTAAACATACTTTCTATAATTTTTTTTATAAATCGACTGAAAATGATAATTAATGATATTCTTCGGTTCGTTTCACTGCTATGGAGAAAACTGATTGTATCTCTACTAAAAGCTTATAAATAATCGAAAGTGTGTGTACAATTAACATTCGTATATTGAAAGTAAGTTGAATTAACAAGAAGACAACAGCTTAGCTGCAATTACCTTTTCTTACTTCCATTAAAGTCCGCCGTTACTGTAAGATCACGCGGCTTTGAAAAGTCGCACTCTAGCGTAAAAGCAGCATCACCTGGTGTCAGCAGCTCGTCGTCATGCTGAATCACCACGACGTTGCTGTACTTGTCACCATCCTAATGACAAAACGAGAAAATGTGAAAATAGATTACGATGAACATATGTTTACTAGACAGAAATAATGTGACCAATAATAAATATAAATATCTAAGTTTTAAGACCAATAAATATCTAATATCTCCATTCTTTTTTTTTTTACAAATATTTTAATTTTTTGTTCTATATAAAAAATAGATAAACAAATAAGCATCAATGTTGCGATGATAAGAAATAATTTCATGAATTTAATCCTATTAGAAAATAGGCATTATTTTCTCAAAATAAATATATTGCAATATATAATATGATAAAATGATAAAATGTAAAATCTCTTTGTTAATGAAACTAAAAATTTAAACAGTATTTTAAGATCTTTATTACGAAGAAAAAGATAGGATTAATAAATCGTTACTTACTTTTTCGGTATCGCATTTGTTTAAAGGGATGCTCATGGTGAAACTTCTACCGCGAACTGGATCGAGGAAGCAAGGGTGTTGTCGAGAATAGAAACTACCTTGTGTGTAAATCACCCCTGAAAAATCTTCGGTTGTTTTGAGTTCCACAGTCATCTTCTCTGCGCCACATCGCAGCCCTACTCGATCGTAGCCCTCGGTAGATGCGCCTATTTGCATATCTTTAGACAAATCTTGTTGCCAAATGTCCTCTGCAATCCAAAAATCAGATCTGGTTAGTTGAATCTCTCCCATCCAGATAAATAATGTTTGTCGAATTTATTAACATATATTGTAAATTAAAATAAAGTAAGTAATTAAAACGAAGTAAACGTAATTAAAGTAATATTTATTTATATTATTTTGTGAAATTTTTATATATACAACATATTCAAAAATTTCAAACTCAAATAGTATTATAAGTATAAAGTAAATAAAATCGTATCCTTTCTGAAACTTTTTATACTATGTTTACTATGTCAACATTTATATTTAAATTATATTTCACAGAAGTCATCAATCATTTAATTAATGGATTATAGTACAAAGTTGTATCAGAAATTATCTTTTATCAATTTTCTCACCTGCGTATACTTTCAGTTCAACGTTCACTAGGAACGTGAGAAGCAGAATCGCACGCATGATCTCGTAGAAACGGTAAGCACGAATGAACGACCGTGAACTGACGGTAAATTCAAGTTCGCTCAATGCCAAGATGCGCCTTTACCTGTCCCGTCGCCGTTACCTGTCCAGATGAACTCCCCCTTCGCATCAAATACTTTCACCGTGTAAAGCGTCACTGAAGTGCGTTTTCTTGATTTTCTTTTCTCTTTCCTTTACATCTCGTAGACGTCTCATGGATCATCGATCACACGGTTGCGAATCGCTGATTCGGAACTACGATCTTTTACGCTATTTCTTGTAAATTCAAATAAATGCAGTGCTAATTTACGAAACATGAGATTGTCTTTTTCTGCAATAGCAAAAAATTCTCGAAATTATATATTGTATTGTTAGGTTTCTGATTTGATGAAATATGTTATAAATAAAATATGCAAATTACAATATAATTATTTGCTGTGGTTTTATTATAATAAAAAGATTTTCCGGATTAGAATGTGTAATCTTTTACTACGCAAAGATTGTAAAGTATAAAGCGAGCATTTAACATTGTTGCAATAGAGCGCGCCACAAAACGATCGATAATATCGATAACATCGTTCATTTAAAAATTATTCGAATCACAGAACATGAAAATAATTGAATAACTAGAAGGAAAAAATGAATTAAACAAAAGAAACATGAGATAATATTAAAACAAAATGACTTTCGTGATATAGTTTGTTAGAAATTATTCGAAAACAATAACACACAACGTGGAAACAATAACACTAAAAAACGTATTGGAATCGTCTTATCAATGCAGTATATTAGTAATTTTAATGCAGTAATATCTATGAAATTAATTATTTTGCTACATAAGTCGATAATCAACTGTTTATATAATAATGATTTAATATTAATCTATTTTTTTATGCTGATTGATTGATTACTTAACCAACAAACTTAATAAGCAACTTTATAATTAATGAATACTTCCAATTATTAGAAGGTTTACTCTTATTGTTTTCTAATAACAGCTTATCGTTGACATGTCGGATTCTAATTTTTACGCGCCAAAAGGAATCAGTAACGTTTGGTAGATAAGGTTGGCAATATTGTGATATCGTACGTCAACGAAGAAATGTATGGGGAAACTAGTTCCAGGTCGGTATTTAACTACAAGTGCCTCAACAATCAACATGTCGGTCAACCGTATGTCGCAGGTTCTCTTGTCGCGCGTGTCACACGCAATTCGAAAGCCACTACAATTTGTCCCACCTGCCATTAGGTATTATTCTTGTAAGTATGGTAATTCATAAATTCTTTTTTCGTCTCTTTTGGTATCGATTATTGCCAGCCGGTTTTATCTTGTCGCTTAATTATTTGCTTTTGTACCACTCATAACTACCGGAATATTCCTAGTGACACAAGATAAATTTTATTTTTATATGTCAATCACGTATCAATATAGACTGCTTGTACCGTACAATTTTATGAAACTAAATTAGACATAATTAAACTCACGCGAATATTTAAGTTATGTTAACAGTTTTAATTAAAAAAAAAAAAAAAGTTTTACTTATCACGTGCATAAATAATGTATGTTAATTACACTTAATTAATAATTAATATCTGCGTGTTATATAAGAGAACGTTGCTTTTTACATTGCATTAAATTCCAATGCCAAGTTATTTTAAGTATTGTTATATATTTGTAATAAGTATAAAATGATAACTCACAAGATAAAACATCTTGCACGATGAATAGGCAACTTTTAAACACTTGGGGTTAATTGGGATTAAGTGTATCAATTGCTCTATTAATTTATTTTGAATATTGTGCGTTTTTAAATATACAAATTAATTTGTTTAAGTCAAAACTTTGATTTGCGTGATTTATGATTTTAATATAAGTTACGTATAATTTTTTTATACATTTTAAACCAATAATTATATAAGAAACATCTTTTACTTGCATCAAGTTTGCAAATAATTACTTGCAAATTATTTTATATAAAATATTATTAATTTTATATAAAATTTGTAATTTTTTAAAACAAAAGATTTAATATATAATAAATAATCCCATGTCTTTTATCACCGATTTTACATATAATAATAATATTTTAAATAAATCATATAATAAGATTAGATTTGTCATCATACCATTTTTATATTTACTGTACTTTGGAACGTTATCACACAGTTGTTTCTTCGAGATTTAGCAATGCTATAAGCAATGCTATAAGCAATGCTATAATGCTACATACGAGGCGATAATGTTATTTGTTTACATTTTCTATGCATTCTTTCAAAAATAGATTGTGAGCATTTACGTTTATTTTTATATGTCTTGCAAATATGTTCGTAAAATTTCACATTATTTTAAGAAGTAATAACATTTATCTTTTCTTATAATAATTGTGCAAGTAATTAAACGAAGTGTGTGATTACTTTTTCCTAAAATTTACTATAAATGCCATTTTTAGGTCCAGCTGGCAATTATGAATTCATTAAGGTTGAGACAGTGGGTGAAAAGAAAAATATAGGTCTTCTCACCCTGAACAGGCCTAAGGCCCTAAATGCTTTGTGCAATTCATTAATGAGTGAGGTGAATCACGCTGTGGACCACTTTAACGAAGATTCATCTATCGGTGCTATCGTCATTACCGGAAGTGAAAGGGCATTCGCTGCTGGTAAGACTTGAACTCCACTTGCAGTGAATGTATATCTAATCTCCATCACTTATGATTTTTAGTATACGACAGATAAAAATATAAATGTTACTTCTAGGTGCCGATATCAAGGAAATGAGTAACAATACATTCGCGACAAATCTCAAAACTAATTTTATAAGTCACTGGGAGAGTGTTGCAAAAAGCAAAAAACCAATAATCGCGGCTGTGAATGGTTATGCCGTAAGTAACACAATACGTTTGACGCATAACGTTATCAGAAAACATATGTAACTGGAGTAAACATTGAGCAATACGTACCCCTCTTTCGATTGCAGCTGGGCGGCGGTAATGAACTCGCGATGATGTGCGATATTATTTACGCCGGCGACAAAGCAAAGTTCGGCCAGCCTGAAATTGCCATCGGTACGATTCCAGGAGCGGGCGGTACTCAGAGATTAACCAGGGTTGTCGGGAAGAGCAAGGCTATGGAAATTGTGCTTTCTGGCAATCAGATCACCGCAGAGGAAGCTGAGAGAAGCGGTAAGTTAACAGAAATTAGTTCACTAATCAAACACTGATAATTTTTATGATCAAAATCAAGATTATAAAAGTATTAATTATTTCTGTAATAAAAAATATATTTTATAAGTTATCATAAGAAAACATTTTTTATTAAAAATGTTCCATATCCATCTAGGTTTGGTTAGCAGGGTTTTCCCAGCTGATAAGCTCCTAGAAGAAACAATAAAATTGGGCGAAAAAATCGCCTCTCACTCGCCGATAGTTGTTGCGATTGCCAAAGAATCCGTTAATGCCGGTAATTAAAAATTGTCCAAATAATTTGACGCAAACTCATATAAAACATGTGTCTTTAACCACGTTATTTTAATTTTAGCATATGAAACTACATTGCAACAAGGACTTCTATTTGAGAAGAGACTATTCCATAGCACTTTTTCTCTGGTAATTGTCATTTTTTTTTCCATAAATAATTCAAGAGAGATTTATAGCAATATAATGCAAAAGAAATTCATTAAAAAATTAAAATGTGAATTTCAGGCGGACAGAAAGGAAGGAATGGCAGCTTTCATGGAAAAACGCTCGCCGAAATTTACGAATGAGTAAATCTCGACGATCACGTGTCAAAGGAGAGAGGGAGCGAACATTCACTAATATTTTTCTAAATACTTTTATACCGCGTTATTGTAAAACGAACCTTTAACTAATACGTCTTATTTTTTTATCTTTATACGATTCGTAAGATTGCCACTTGTTAGTTAAGGGTCAAACGTGAGGTATTATTTGTTACATTTGTTATAAGATAAATATTGCAATAAACTTTCTTTTACAAGAAACGAGAGGACGAGTGTAATGCCAGAACAGACGTAATGTCCAAATGGGACTTTTATTCGAGTATATTGCTGCTCTTACATGAGGTGGATCTCGAGTATGATACATTTAAAGCTAGTATAGCATTGCAGTTAATATTAAAAGGAATAATAATAATTATTATAGTAGAGAGGGAGTACACACAACGGTTAGATGAGAACGTGTAAACCGTCATCGACATTGTGAATGATAACACTATAATACTAACGAGATACCTCGAAAAACGGTAGGAACAATACGATTTCGGTAAACACCAATAGCTTAACGTCGAAAAATGCAATGCGTCATATCTAAACGACGTAATTCAGTGAGTTCCTTACGTATATGTGTATATATGTGTGTGTATTATGTGTGTACGTAATTTGTCTCACGAATGATCTTAAGACTGTAAATTTCCAAATTGGTAAAAAGTAGTTAAAAAATATTTCACTTTCGAGTTCGTTACAAAGAAGTGATATCAAATTCGATTTTGCCAGTAAGAAAATCGACCGGGTCTCTCTCGGATATACATCTTAGCGTTGCTGACTAGCTAATACTAACTGGGTAACGTACATGCGCACGTACCCTTCTTTACGCTCATTACAGATCATCGCCCATAACTGCCTCTTCCGCCTTTCTTAACGTTAAGAGAAATTAAACTAACTATTCTTAAATATTATGCACGTAATTACCTGTCGTGTCGCTGCCTCCGTTTTTTATTCTTACATTTTCTTTAAGTACATGTCAGAAGATGGGGATTACGCTACCGGGCACATCGAATGTTACGTTCCGAGTCGGAGAGTTTTAAGAAGTTCCCCCGATATTTCGAAAGGGTACATGTTCGGCGAAATTGATCGGACAATCCTTAAATAGAGATCTCTTCATCCTAGTTGCATTTTCTACGCTTCGTTGCTTACTCCTCTCTTTTTCCAAAGCCTGAATATACATATGCGTTATACATTTTAAATACAGAAAGCGCAAGAAAATGCAGCTAAAACTGTGTGGTGTAAATTACCTGTCAACATGAATATTTAGCTTCACTACGAGGAATCGAGAGCTTCAAACGCAAAGTAATATATCTTTTGTGTGTGTCTTTAAAATATAAATAAATACGTAGTCCTTTTTACGCTTTATGATTTTTCTGAATTCTTATTCGAAATATCCTTATTTTATAATTTAAGAAATATATTATATGTCTTTCGAGCTCCACAATAATTGTATATCCTGATATGTGTGGTAGCACACTTGATAAAAAAGTTCAAAATGTACTGTATCGTACTTTTACTGTATCGTATCGTATAAAAAACTTACATGTTTAGGTCCGAAATTTGTACATCCGGTCTTGCCGTAAAGGCAGTCTCGGTCTCTTGGTCCTCGGTCGTGGGATTGAATTTCGGGAACCTCTTAAAATTCGACAGGAAGATCGTCTCAGGAGAAGGAGGGTAGGTAGAGATGAATTGGTTTTCATGTATATCACAGTTGCAAGCTCTGCTTCGTTAACTACGTTGGTAAAAATTATCAAGATGACGGAGAATATAAAGTATCGGTACTCTCTGTTCGCGCTGACTGCTGCTGCCGGTGAATCCGCGGATTTACCGCTTGTTACGATTCTTCATAGTGAAGCGTCTCCAGAAGTTGCCACTCTTTTTCGTGGGTGTTGCGGCCGGTGTCTCGTACGCGTAGCTGGACTCGTCGTCTGTGTCGTGGGCACTGGGCGCCTCTCTGGTCGGCGATCCGCCGTGTCCCGAATCCCTGTCGCCGTCCGTGCCATTTTTTTCTAGACCTGAAAATTCCGGTTTTATATAAAAATCCAAAGCAGCAAAGATTCGCAAAAAATAAACTTTCTTGGCTCAGAACTAAATGCTAAACTAATTATATTTTGTGGACAAGCTTCTGAATCTATTTCATATTGTAACGCACAATTAGTTTTCGGAAAACGTATTTAAAATGCTGAAAATTATTTTATTTCAATAAATATTATTTTATAAAGAAAAGATATATAAGTTTAAATTCAGATTTAAATTGCACTTATTTTTTAAGAAAATAAATTATATTAAATTATACCACAGAAATGTTCAAATAGTTCAATGAAAGTTAACAAAGGTTCCGCGAGCTAAATATTACTGTCGAAAAAGTATAAGTATTCAAAAATAAGAAACTCAAAGGTGCTGAGTTAATTTCGGGGTGGAAATAAAAATGTTTTCTTACCACCACCGCGTAGCATGTCGAGAAACGTGCTTTCTGCGTTGCCACGCGTGCGTCCCTGCTTCTGGGACGGCGTGCCAAAGCTCAGGCTCTGGATATTGATCTCTGCTTTGAGTTGTTCCGGCGGTATGTCGTCCACACGGAACTCGTTCGGGTCCTCGACGAAGGCCTGCTGCAGATCACGCATGATCTTCTTGCGTATGGTCTTCTTCATCGAGAGATGCCGCTCCAGGTGTTTCACATCGCTCTCCGTCAGCGTTTTGCTGTTATCGCGGCGACGTGACTTCTTCTTCTTGCTGTTCTTCGGGCTCTCCTCCTCGCCTGATGTCGAACCTACTGATACGGCGCTATCGTGCCCGGGCGCCTTCTCCTCGGCTTGCCCACGTGTGTTCTCCCATTTGCTGCCGAAGCCGAAGATGTCCCGCAAATGAGGAATGTTCCGGTCCACAGTCTGTTGCCTCGCCATAACGTCGATCCTTCAAATGGCAAGAGTGGCTTCGAACGGCAAAAGAATCGTCTCTGAGACGATTGATTCTCCTCCTTTGTAGCTTTGTCCTGAAAAATTTCGGAAAGTTAGATTAATAAATTCCTGATATCAAATGGATAATTAATTAAATTACATAATAATTGTTAGATGGAAGATATCGGGCGGATATTGCGGCAACAATCGCGGTGAAACTTTGGCAACAAGCTGCGTGTTCGTCTACGAAACGGGCGAGAAATACCGCCTCTGGAAATAATAAAGTTCACGCGATCAAGAACTGGCTCGCGCGCGACCGAGCGATCGATATCGCGGAATTGCGCGCCCACGTTTTCCCTCTTCGCCGTACTTTCCATCGCGAGAAACCTTTCGGCTTTATTTATACACGGCAGCCGATTGTGCTTTCTGCCGCGAGTACAGCTCACGAGGATTCGACCGAGATTGCAGTCTCACATGTATCCTGCGCACGTATATCCTTAATGCTCGCTTTCTTTTCAATTTTACAAATCCTAATACCTTTCCCGATACAAATATATAAGATTTATGAGAAAAAGCAATTCCAAGAAAGTACAACAAACAAGAGAGAATTTAAAGTTCTAGTAATTCGTTCGGAATACAAATTTAATTTCAGTATGTGTACTATTTTGAAAAGCAGAACTTTTCATTTCTTAACTGTAGTTTAATTCAAATATAATTGATTATAAATCATAAAAAGCTTTATTCAATTTTAATCTAATCAGGTAGAAATGTCTGTTGTTCGTAAGCTATCTTTATAATATAATACAAATTCTATCGAACGGAAATCTGGTGGTTGGCCTCAGCTCTTTACGCTCCCTATCATATCTAATTTGATTGTTTAATCAGCCGAGCCTTTATATTTCCAAATTTTAATCTAATCATTTTCATTATTATTTTTTATATGAATGGAAATATATTTCAAGGTAGAACATCAAGGCGAATAAAGAGAAATTTATAGAATATATTTATAGAAAATTTATTTATAGAATGTTTACTTTAAATATATTTCATCTTCCCTGTATAAATCAATAACCCAATTGCTATTAATAAACCAGTATTACCTACTCGATTATATAACACGTAACACGCCGTAACATGTCAGAATTAAAAAATCACAAAATGATCAAACTTTACAGCTGTAACTAATGGCTACAACTTGTTTCTCTTATCTCATGGCAATACCAATAGCTACAACTGGTTTCTCTTATCGCGCGATAAAATCTCCAAAAACAGTGTAGATCCAAACGCATGGATTGGCAAACTCTCGGTACGTTGATTCCTTAAAGTACCGACAGTTTATGCGAACACGTTGACGTTCGTGCACGCGGCTTGCATACTTTAAATATTGTTTCGCAATCTGCTTATGTACGAGCCGACGGCAGTGGCAGTTTATCTTCGACAGGCCGATCGATCGGTCCGCCGTTCTACGGTTGTCCGTCGTCGCGTCGATACCAGCGAATCGGCAGACTGGCGCGTGTACGTTTTCCGGTTCGACGGAGAACTCGTTTACGAGGGAAAAAAGCCGTCGTCCGGATCTACGTATGCACGCAGACCGGGATCGTGCATTGTAAGCCAGTCAGCCGCGACCTGCGACCCACGGGCCGTAAACAGGGTCCTGTTTTCATGTAATCGACTCCCCGGTTTTGTGATGCATTCGAGATGAAAGTTTGAACAATGAAAAAATAATCATTTTCTCTTTTAGCAGTATATACTGTGCGAAATATTGCAAATATAACGATCAAAGATGCGAAGGCATTTGCGAGATGATACAGTACTTTGCGCTATGCATTTTATGTCGTACATATAAAAAAAATTCGCCAAGATAGCAATTAAAAATTTCCGTACTTCCAAATTTTTAATTTCTTTCTATTTTTACTTTTGTTCGATTTTATTTGGCCACCTAAATTTTTATTGTTGCGTGTTATACTTTCATAGAATTGTAAATATGTACGCAGAAAGTAATTTTTTACAATTATTCCTGTGTGAACGTACATTTTCTGTGATTTTCATTTAATAATGTGACAAAAACTCGAGTATAACAGAAACCAGAATATTGAATTACCAGAAAATTATCTGGTAATGAAATGTTATCAAAATTTCAATTTCAATTCAATTTATGGAGCCACAAAATCGCCATAAAGATGAAAGGACGATACTTAATGCATTTGATTGCAGATAAACTCGATTCATCATCATCATCGCGTCAGTCTTAATTCAGCAGTGGCATAAGCGATGCTTCTGCTTTAATGGCTATGTAAGGGCACCATAAGCTAGACCAATGTCAGTGCCATAATTTTCAATGTTGCACGTGAGTCACTTAATTCGCAAGCTTGATTCTGTATCTTGGGAAATCACGTATGTAGACGTGCCATACACGCCAAGTATTTTAGTTCGACTAATTGCGTTCATGATCTACTTCTCTCGAAACATCAAGGCAAAAGCATTTTTATCTCTCACATTTATAATAGAAAAGCATAAATAATTTAATGAATTCCTCTGACGAATTATTAATCACTTAAATATTTGAATTTCATAAGCCTTTACATGCGCAAAAGAAAATTACATCAATTCTGCATGTAACAGTAAAGTATGAATTAGGATAATTGCAAGAAGCAACATTCGTGATAAGTAAATTCTCATCGAGCATTTAGATGAACTATTTTAATTCTTGTGATTGTAGTAAATTGTTGAAAATTGAAATGGAAAGATGAAATGGAAAATTTCAAGAAAAAGACATTATTTATGTTGAAATCATTTTACTGAAATTGAAGAAAATTAATTTTCTCATTTCACTTCCTCCAGAGACAGTCAAATAATATAATTGTGAGATAATATAATGATTATAAAATATAACAAAATTAAAATATAAGACAGAAATGAAAAGCAGACGATGTCACTGAACAGTACAATCATAATTCCGCGCAATATTAAAAAAAATGCCTATTAAATAATTTCTATTTTTAATTTGCATCAATTTTCTTCATTTAAATTTATTTATCACAATTTTTGATACAGAAAAATTTTAACTTTCTGAATGCGTGAAGCATTGTATTTTTGTCTCTCACAATCACAGTCTTCGCGATGCTAAGAAACATGAGAAAGTATCAATTAATTCAGATTCTGTAGTCACATTGAGCGCTAAGTGCAACGAGAGACGCGGATACGCGCGTCGCGCGTTTAACTCGTAACGCATATTCTCTACCGCTATAATCGTTGTGTACACTATCACAATCGAGATGGTTGGGCAACGAGGAAACGAGGAACGGTCTCTCTCTCCACCTGGGTAGCAGTCGCTCGCCGTCGCTGCTTGGCAACCAGAACCAACTCGCCGCGACGAAACGATACGGCGAGATACCGGTCGCCACGCCGTGAACCAGAGACCTTTCACGTTCCCTTCGCGTCGGTTCTGTTATCTAACGATGTATATAAGCGGTACGTACGGTCAGCCGTTACAATCGGCGTTAATAAATACAAAGGATTCACGCGCAATCAATCAAATCCATTTCTTTCATTTTTAGCTGTGACATGCAAGAATCCTATTCTAATTTATTATTTCTAACAATGAACATTGGCACGCTCACGAATATAGTTTATTAAAATTTACTTGATGATATAAAAACTTCAACTTTTTAAATTCTTAATTACAGCTGTGCTTCAATTTGTCCCGAATTCATCCCCTAATTAAGATCTTTCAGCGAAGATATCAAGGCGTCTGAAGGAGGATACAAGTGACACGGAGATTAATCCGAGAGACGATGCGGCGAGAGAGATTTCGGTACAACAACCTCCCGCACGCCCACAGGTCTAGACGTGGTGCCTGTAACACAGCGACGGCTACGATGTACCGTAAGCCGGGCCGCCAGGAGCCTTCACGCATGGTAGACCGAAGCGAGCCGAATAGCGCGGACAGAACGTGGAGAACGGGCACGCGTATATCGATTTGCGTTCTCTACGAGCGGATCGAACGCGATGCGCCGCGTGCATCAATATCTCCCGCATCGCGCATCATACGAGCGTCGACCTGGAAACACGGCAGTGGCTAACCGTACGTGAAATCAGGACGTAGGATCAAGATTTACGTGACTGAACAGTTTACAATTCAACATCTCGCACCATGTTAAAAAAACGATTCCTAAAAATAATTTATCCGTAATTTGTATCCTTTCCTAATTTAAAGTTTGCTCAAACTTATTATGTCGTTTGATCAAAGAGAAAATTATTGTTTGGAAATTTTCAGAAATTGTCAGAATAAAAATTCGCGTTTGACATTTTCGATCGATGTCTCTCCAATATTTATTTCCGCCTGCAATCTACAAAGCTCTGTCAATTAAATCAGAAGTCGGTAATTTATTTAAGAGACTGAATTCATAATATTCCCGACGTGTCTTCGATCGATTGCAATTCGCACGAATGACTAAATACACACGCGAGCGAGACCTGGTAATATTTCCGTTATCGTGCACTGGAGAACCCGAGGTTAAGCCTTTCACGAGGGAATTATATCCTAGAGCGGCTTTTATAGACATAACTCGGTCCAGCAATCAAGCTCTACTCATTTTCACGCGGTCGTGGCGTTTGCTGTTGCGACGTGGATCAAGTCTCACTGAACATAGTTACTATTAATGTCACACTGAATCAAGCAAATCTAAATTTTAGAACTTTTCCCTCGGAAACGACAGCTGCCAAAAAATTTATCATTCATCAACATGTTAGCTTTTTACATTTGCAATTTCATAAACTTACTTTAACAAGACTGCTGTGAATTACAAGTTTCATTATTGTACTTATTACTAATTTGCAAAACGTGTCGCTGCATCTCAATGAAGCTTATCAACATCCGTGTCACTATTAGCCTTGCTGTCATAATAGTAAACATCGCCATATTTATCGAGACTGTTTATTAAAAGGACATTGATTAGATGATCGCGGTCTTTAGCATCCTACAAACGCGCCCACGACTGGTTAATTAAATCGCTTGACGATAACAGAGGATTCGCCGTTGCGACTGGTCCTGCTACTCGTCGGTCATTAACTACTCGCGACTACAAATTCTGTGTTGCATCGCCGACGATCAACAAGCGCCGTTTTGAATTCATAACGACGAACGACCATCCGGTGCAAGAAATTAACGACCGGAATGCGGGATAACTGTTTTTCGCCGGGCGTAATATTCCCTTCGTCATCGGCGACGATCTCCGGGATCTATAAATTGCGGAAGGAAACTTCGCTCGCGAGTAATGCCTGATTGCCTGATGTAATCTTGATAACGTTAAATTTGAAACATTAAAATAATAATCTGAAAAAATTACCGCTACAACTTTTGATGCAATATACACAGAATTTTGAAAGAAAGATTGCAACGCTGTTACAATATTATTATGATTATGTATGTTGTGATAGTTATATTAATAAAGGAGTTACGTGCGTGTAATTTAAGACGACCTATATGAAAGATGCATGGACTATCAAGCGGTAAGCGTTCTTGAAGAGGGATCGATTGTTTCATAAATAACGTGATATGAATCGCAGATGAGCGGATCTTGAATATAAGAAAAGCGAATACTTGCTCACCGAAGTGATCCAAGAATACAGAAATAAATTTGGATTCTCAATTCAGTGGCATCTAACAAATTCGGTATCCAAGAATGTTTTAAATATATTCAATCAAGATCGCACCTTTTAAATACTTAATCGAGTTGAAGCACTTTTAATCCAAGGGTATCACAAGCACATCACAGCGTTCCGCTGATTTTCCCGCAAAAAAAGGTACGCTCGCCATTGCCTTCTCGGCGACGTTCAAGGTTGAACCAGAAACCGCGTACCAGAACAACGAACGCGATATCGAACACCCGTTGCGACGACCGCTGCGCGACTGAACGCCGTACCGCGTCGATCCGCGACTTTCACTTCGATAATCGAGAGGCCCCTTCCCGACACGCTTATCCGTGATGCACCCACGCTCTCGCGTCTCGGTCACGACATAATGCTTGCGAAGAACAAGGCACGATGTGCCGTGTTCAACATCGAATTTCCTCATTATGAAATGCGCGATTTTGCTTAATTTGTCTGCTACGATAAAGTTTGATGTAAATAGACATTAATATAATTACTAACAATATAAATAAATTTATTATTATCTACTAGATTTAAAAAATAAAATTTAGAAGGTAATAGTAATATTTTTTTAAAATTGTGCAAAACGCGTTTAGAAGACGATTAATTTTTGTAAAGATATTATATATTCTTCAAAGAGATAATATTTAAAAATTACAATATTATTTCATCTAAAAAATTTAACGTATGCAATCTCATTTTATACGTAATTAATTTTATTCAATATTATCGTATTAATTATCAATCTTACATTGCAAAAACGTTTATAAAAAGAAGATCTCAGAAATATCACACGTGTCACATATTTCGTTGTTAAAAATGTAGTAAGCCACGAGAAGACTAAAAATAAGGAAAATCTTGACCCAGTGAGTTAGAACATTGTAGAAGATCGTATCGGAGCTACTTCTCGTAACTCACATTGTACGCATGCAAATCTTCCTTTCTATGTTAATCAGGTTAACAGGTTTTCATCTTGACGCGTTCGATATGCCGCGTTTAGCCGCGAGGGCAAAACGTACGACGGACAAAGGTAATAAAAACGCGCGTCTTTGCACCGGACGCGTAAATTGCACGCACCCGACTGATCTTATCCGACAGTTGCAATTTCTGCGATTTCTCGGAGTACTTCGGGGTTTGCGGTAACGCAGTCTGCGGTTTGGCCCGCGTGTGAGAAAGGTCACGCATCACTGGGTTACCGAGTCGAAAAAAAGGAAAGCAAAGTGCTCGATTATTGTCGGTCGCAATCGAGCTTCTCTCGCGGACTTCTTCGCAAAAATCTGTTGCATGAATTGAACGAACTAAAAGTGCGAAAAGTTTGTGGAATTCTAAAACAAACGTTGCATTTTAATTCAAAGTTTTCGCGCAAAAATCTCTTGTACAAACCAAATGACTAAGAAAAAAAGAGCGCAAAAAGTTGTGAATCGACTTTTCTTTAAATTGAAATAAAATTTATCCTAAAGCTAAAAGCTTTCAGTTTCTCGAGTTCTAACCAAGTTATTGCTGAAACAATTGTTGCATTAAACTATTCAGTGATAAATAAATCTTTCAATTGTGTGAGATTTGAAATAGCGTCGTGTGAAAGAGAACTCCACCGCACTTCAATGAGCACATTCCTATGTAAGAGAAAAATTTTATTCGCATCTCGGTCGCGTAGATCGCGTGCACAGATCTTTATCGGTGTTTCCGATCTCTCGCGCGGTCCCGAGTTTTCGACGTTTTTTTTTCGGTGCAAATGAACGAAATTGGATTTCCAGACAAATTCGTTTCTACGGTGAACGCCAGGCACGTTTTAAGAGCGAACAAAAGCAGCCGGTCGATTTCTTACGCAAGTCTTTCTTTCCACGACTTCTGTCATTCTTCGCACGCGTTTCCGCCCGAAGAGTAACAAATTGATCGCTCGGTAATTTCGTACACATCGATTTCACGTTCGGAACTAACGATCCATTCAAAGGACAATAAGATTTCGCAAGGGAATGTAATTGACGAAGAAGAAAAAGTATTGCGGCTAACAATCTAGTTCCTGTAGCACGTATATCAATTTTAAAATAAATTGCCAAATTTCGCAAATCATCCTTTCTCCAATTCAAATTATGCCTTAGCAATCAACGCTGCAATCCGCTTTCCGATCCAAATAATCCCGCACGATCAAAGATAGTTATTTCGTTAATAATTAATGATATTCATAATTCCATAAACAACGATAATTGTTCAGTCGACGAGATCGCGCGACGCTAATAACGTTCTCTGTTGCGTTTCCGCTCCGGCAAGTTCATTAGGATTCTCATTGCGTCTTCTTCCCATTGTGCCGCGATTTCTTTCTCACCGTTGAATGTCTATTTCTATATTGCTAACAAAATGTCGCATTAATTACTCGGTGAAAAGTCATTAATTCTATCGATGCGGCAATCGCTCCGAGTGACAGCGAGAGAGTTACCTTCTATTAACATCTCTATACGTTAACAAGTGTAACAACATATTTCGAGATTCAATAAGTGAACAAACGTCTAATTGTAAGATGAATTAATTAATAATTAAACTTATAATAATAATAAGAAAATTTTTTTTAAATATTAAAATACCTCGCGTATAAAATATATGGTATCTCGCGCCGTCAAAAAAAGTTTCGGGAAGGATTAATAGGAACTAATGGACGCACGATTAGCTGTGAGAGCGGAACGCTGTTTTTGTACGTCAGCTGCGCGCCGCGTATTCATTACGGTGCCGTTATTAGCGTTATCAGTTACTCCCGTTGTATATACCGCCGCCGACATGTAAACCTAACCGTGGCTGATTACGGCGGCCGCAGCAGCTGTTCGCTCCTGTCGACGCTGTAGTTCGTTCCCTGACTTTCTACAGTTGTACAGTTACTTCGGGGTGAAAGGTGAGAGCCCTTCCCGCGTCTCGCGGCGAGAAGAAAAAAAAGAAGAAGAAGAGAAGGCGATTCGCCGGTGTCTTTTCGATTACCGCATCGAGAATCACTCGGTTCTACTCGAGCGGATGTGTCCGTAGACGAGCTCTGAGAACGCGCTTCACGCTGCACATTGCAGCCGCAGCAACGCGTCGTGTCATCCCAAATGATGTTCGTGAAAGGATTTAATTTTAGCTTTTGACAGGACGAAGCGCTAATAAAACTTGATTGAAGATAATATAATAAGATTCATTTATATGACGGAAAATAGCATTCTTTTTTTACAGGAAATTTCTCCTTACTGTAATAATATATCTTATGCTCTTATATCACCGAATAATCGAGCTTGCTACGTCAGTCAAAACGTGCAATCACCGAGTTACGCGACCTGCGTCGCTGTAAAGTAAACCGCGGAGAGAACTGGTCCCGAGTTTACAAAACCGTTTCCGAACCGTGAAGTGCATTTTGCTCGGCGGCGCGGAGATTAATCTACATTCACGAGACTAATCACAATAATTACGGGACTAATTATGGAACACCGAGTGCGCGCGAACCGGCGAGCGCGCAACGTTTTTCTATCAGGTGTCTCGGAAAAACGCCTCGTGTCGCTTACTGCGCTCATCGTTCATCTAAAATTAGAAGCGGAGAAAAACGGGAGAAAGAGAAGTCGCATACGTGCGCGCGCGTATACGTGAACCCGTTCTCCTAAGGTTACGACCTAACCCGACGATTGTGTTAGGCTGGCCGGCGAAGGTTCTCCGGCCGGCCCGAGGAAACCGGTATTAGAGTCAATGAGAACTGGCTCGCCTGGAGAATATGATGTCACTTTCGCCGAGCATGTCCGACTCAGCATAAAAAAAAAAAATAGCGACAATACGCGAGGTGAATAAGAACCACGAGAATTATGCTGTCACAAGGCGATCGGTCAGCTTTGTGATTTTTCCCGCATTCTCCCTTGACACTTTTCCGATCCAGACGACGTGACTCTATAAGATATCTTGCGAAATCTAAACTGACATTTTGAATTCTAAAATAAGTTTAAATTCTCCTAGAATTTTATAATTTTCTAATTAAATAAAAAAATATATTTATACAGTTTATTTTGCAAGTGAAGCTTGTAACGCGTAACGTTTTTATGAAAAAAATAACGCAGCCATTTATGCCCGGAAAATAGATTGCTCGGAAAAACGTTAAATGTCATGTAACTTTTCCGCAGCGCTGTAGTTGCAGTTCCGTGCGGATGCTGCGATAATTATTATCTCGCGTGCTTATGCAAACTAAGCGAAATTAAATTAATGTCATTTCCGTTTCGCGCGTTTAACACTTACATAAATTGAAACTTATCGCGTAAACTGCGTTAAACTTTCTCTAATTATTTACAAATGCGTAAATTTGTAGAAGAAGATAAATCAATAAAATTTATTGGCTAAAATAATTTGATGTCAATTGTAAAATAAATTTATTATGCAATGTTAAATGGACTTATTTGCGAAACAATAAAAAAGAGCGTATAAAGTTGACAGTATAATTTTCGTTTCGTTGCGCACGGTTATCCATCGTAATGACCAGGAATATTACGTCGCAACAATCGTCGGTGTAAGATTAACGATCATTATCGAAGTTAGTAGAGTGTCGTGTGCGAGAGAAATTTTCGGAGGATCGTCTCGAATTCCGGTCCTCTGGCAAACAAAGGAGATAAGTTTACCGAACGCGCGCGAGACAATGCCACCTCCGTCCGTCGGTTTTGCTCTCTGGAGGCGGCCTGCTGTGCATGCATGCTAGACCGAGCAGAAACTCCGATCTACGTTACATAAGAGAAAAGTGTAAGCGTCGTGCCGCTGCAATCCTCTCGCCTTGCGCACCTGAATCACCGCGCGTCGAACCAGACGGATTTAATTATAGGCGTGATCAAGTATTTTTTCCGAAGAAGCCTTGAACTTTTCTTCCAAATTTCGAACATGGCGCCAAATAAGATTTCGAAATATGCAATATTATCAAAAATACGGAATATTCTTGAATAATTAATAAACGAGTCACATATTCCGTGTAAGAAAAAAATATAAAATTAGTCTTCACGTTAAATTGAATATTAACAAACCAGTTTGTAGTGAAGAAGACATTAATGATTGCTGGCCAGATGTTATCTGATCTTCTTTACAAGTGACAGATATTATGTATATTATGTATCGCATTGTGGAATCACGAATTGCTGAAACTTCCTTCGCGGCCTCGATATTAAGCTTCGCGATTCGGTTCACCCGGCAATCTCATGAAACCGTACGTATAACAAGACGTGTGTTCTGAAGAACAAAAGAGAGAAGCGCGCGGAGAATCTGGA